GCTGAAGAAGCTTCTCCTTATCTCCGTTCTAAAAGGTCTTCCCTTTACTCTAAGGCTGTGCCCTCAGGTCCTAGTCTCTCATACCAATGGAAACATCTTCCCAACATCCACTCTATCCAGGCCATTCAGTATTCTGTAAGTCTCAATTAGATCCCCCCTCATGAGTTTAGTCCCAGAGTCCTCAAACGTTCCTCATATGTTAAGCTTTTCATTCCTGGGACCATTCTCATGAACCTCCTCTGAACCCGCTCCAGGGCCAGTACATCCTTCCTGAGATATGGGGCCCAAAACTGCACACAATACTCCAAATGTGGCCTGACCAGAGCCTTATAAAGCCTCAGTAGTACATCCCTGCTTTTATATTCAAGTCCTCTCAAAATAAATGCCAACATTTCACATCAACTCTGCTTTCTCTCTAAAGATGCTGCCAAACCTAGGCTGAGTTTTTCCAGTAATTTCTGATTTTGTTTCAACTACATGGGGCTTTGGTGAGAACATGTGTGTGCAGTTTGTGTGCGGTTTTGGTCTCCCTATCTGACGAAAAGGCATTCTTGCTATAGGGGGAGCACAGCAAAGGTTTACCAGACTGATTCCTGGGATTGCAGGATGGATGTTTGAGGAGAGGTGAATCAGTTAGGATTATATTTGCTGGTGTTTATAAGAATGAGGGAGGATCTCAAAGAAACCTACAAAATTCTAAATGGACTAACAGGGTGGATGCAGGAAGAAGTCCCTGATGGCAGGGAATTCCAGAGCCAGGGGCTACAGTCTAAGGATATGAAGTAAACCACTTAGGACTGAGATGAGGAGAAATTGTTTCACCCAGAGAGTGGTGAGCTTGCGGATTTCTCTGCCACAGAAAGCAGTTAAGACCAAGAAGTTGCATGATTTCAAGAAGGAGTTAACTTTGGCACTTGGGGTGAAAGGGATTAAAGATTCGGGAGAAAAGTAGGAACAGGCAAATGAATTGGATGACCAACCATGACCATAGTGAATGGTGGAGCAGGCTCGAAGGGTGAAAGGCCTATTTCTTCATCTATTTTCTATGTTTCTAAGTCCTGCAAGTTTTTTTTTCCCTCTTCACTTTTACACTAAATTTCCTTTGGAATGTTGCCATTGAATCTTCTCTCAACACCCTATTGCACTTCAATTTGGAACAAGTCACTACTTAAAAAGAAATCTGCATCTCGTTCCTTTATTCTGTTGTCAACTACACATCCTAGTAACAATGTGTGATGGTGGCTATCCTCAAAATTCTGTTCAATGCACAGCGGCAGAGCAGAGAAGAGCACAAATCCTGTGGACATCAGGGATGTGGAACAAAGACTGGTGAATGGAGCTGGGGTATAGATCATCAATGATTGTATTAAATATAGGAGCAAGCACAATTGCAGCAAGGAACCCCTGTTGTTTTTTGAAGGCAATGAGAACACAAAACATAGATTGTCGATACAGCATATGGTGGCATTGAGTTAAGTCTTGACTTATCTTGACACTCATCACATCTCCCACCTCACACTCCTGGTAAGATAACTTCCAACCACTAATCTTCAAGGCTCACAGACGAAGACTATCAACCTCTCATGTGATACCAGCATCCAAAGAATTATTCCTCATCAACAGTCAATACAGTGAAAGATTTAGATAATGGAGCAGTCTTTTACAGTCTATGAAGTATCGTCACTGATGCCATGGAGGAAATGTGACAGCCAATTTGCATACAGGAATTTCCCACACTCAAAAACACAATAGTCTGTGTTTTTTTATTAAAGTTTGTTGCAATATGTTGACCAGGATATCAGAGAGAACAGCCTTGCTCTTCTTCCAAATTGCATCATGCGATCTTTTATATCTGTTCACCTTGGAGAATAGGTGAAGCTTTAGTTTAATGTCCCACCCATAAGACAACACATCTGACAATGTGTAGATAGTAAGAACTGCAGATGCTGAAGAATCTGAGATAACAAGGTGTAGAGCTGGATGAACACAGCTGGCCAAGCAGCATCAGAGGAACAGGAAAGCTGACGTTTCGGGTCTGGACCCTTCTTCCGAAAAAATGCCTAGGTGTCAGACACAATTATACATTCCTTTGGGAGGAGGGCTTCAATCTACAAACATGGTGACTGGAGGCAAATCAACAACAACAAAAGCTGGAAGTGACACATTTAAGACAAGGAGAGAGTGATCTCACAATCCCTGTTCCTACATTTGGGGAGAATGAAAAGGCCTATTGAGCCTTTGTCTCTTTCCTAAAAATGTGTAAAATTCTCGATGCTTATCGTTAAAGGGAGGGAAGTGTAGATCCATCAGAAACAGTGAGCTGCCTTTAGTCAGATCAACCTGAAGCTGATCTCCTGAAGCCCTGCTCTTCATCAAACGGAACATCGCTATGCGTTTAATTTCATTAGTAACACCAATTGTGTTAAACATCTGCTAACACAAAATTGACTGATTACTCATGTTGACTGTCAGAACAAACAATTAACAGGGGAAGGTCACTCTTTGATTTTGTTTGCTGACTACGGCAGGTCGCTGACAGAAACTTATGCATTGTCAGTAAATTAGAATTCATATTGTGCCGTCTAAAGGATTTTATGATGTTAATGAGAGCCCACGGGCATTTACCAAGGACATCCTACAATTACTGTCTCTGGTGTGTTTGATTACATTACCAAATTGCTGCTTGCGGTGACACTACCACAATATTAATGATAAACAGGAGACTCTGTCATTATGGAACACCAGGTTCTTTTGTTACTGTTCTCTGTCGTTTGATGAATACACTCGATTCTTAATAGATCACTGGTCTGCAGGCAGCGTTAACTACTCTGTATCTCAGAGCAGTATGTGGCCAGCCCTCAGAGGATGAATGTATCCAAATCTGAGAAGAGACATCTCGGAAGGAGATTTGCTGAGTTGGGTTTGTCTTAATAGGAGAGATTGAGCAGTTTCATTCAATCCCTACAGCGTGGAAGCAAGCCGTTCAGCCCATCAAGTCCATACCATCCCCTCCACAGAGCGTCCCACCCAGACCCACCTCCCCACCCCATTCTTGTGACACTGCATTTCTCCTGGCTAACCCACCTAGCCTACACATCCCTGGACACTATGGACAATCCACCTAACCTGTGGGAGGAAACTGGAGTATCCGGAGGAAACCCATGTAGACATGGGGAGAACATACAAATTCTGCACAGACAGTTGCCCAAAGCTGGAACTGAACCTGGGTCCTTGCTGCTGTGAGGCAGCAGTGCTAACCACTGAGCCACCATGCCACCCAGTTTACGTCTGTTACTCTCTGGAAAATGTCGAAGGGGATTTACAAAATAGATGTAAAGAGGATGTTTCCTCATGTGGGGAAATCAAGAGAGTTTGTAGTGTTAGGACAAGGGGTAACTACCCCAGAGTGCAATTGATGCTGGAATGTTGAGTAAATTTAAGGAGGAGATTGACTGATTTTTAATTAGTAATGGGGTGAAGGGTTATGGAGAGTGGGCAGGGAAGTGGAGTTGAGGCCAAGATGAGATCTGCTATGATCGTATTGAATAGTAGCGAAGGCCCGAGGGGCTGAATTGCCAGTTCCTTCTCTTAGTTCTTATGTTTAGGTTAAACCAAGAGCAGGATGTTCAGATACGCTTAGACAGCAGCGCCAGGCAAGAGGGTGTATTTTAAATTGGTGAAGGGCAGTTTTAGGAATGTTCTCACAAAAAGTTCTTTAGCAAGTCTGAAGTTAGCAGGGGGTGACCCATTCTCCATGTTTCACCTCACAACATACAAACATGTGTCAGTTCTGATATAACACATTTTTCTTCAACGCAAATTGGTTTTAACACGATTGAAGAACTATAGAACGCTATTTGTAAAATGTGAACTTTCCCTACCCATATTGGCTACAACGCAGTTCCACCCCCATCACTTTAAATGTTGCTGTTATTGCGTTTTTCTTTCTTACAACATGAGATTGCATGAGAATGGAGCTATTGTGTTATATCAGAAACAACTGTAATATAACTTCTGAAAAGACAGTGGGGGTTGGAGATTGATCATTGAATAAATAGATCTTAGAATCCCTACAGTGTGGAAAAAGGCCCTTTGGCCCAACAAGTCCACACCTACCTTAAGACATTTCACCCAGACCAATATCCCTATAACCCACCTCATCTACACATCACTGAACACTATCGACAATTTAGCGCAGCCAATCTACCTAGCCTGCACATCTTTGGACTGTGGGAGGAAACCGGAGCACCCGGAGGAAACCCATGGAGACACAGGGAGAATGTGCAAACTCCACACAGACAGTCGCCTGAGGGTGGAATCAAACCCAGGTCCCTGGCGCTGTGAGGCAGCAGTGCTAACCACTGAGTCACAATATTCAGGCTTGTTAAGCCTTTCTTTATTCGTAAGTGATACTGCTGATTCGCATTAGCTACAAAACATTTACATTACTACTTAACTGTCATGGCTCAGTGGATAGCAACTCATGCCTTCTTCAGAAGGTCATTGGTTCAAGTCAAACTCCAGGAACTTGAGTGCAAAAAACTTTAATTTGGCTCTCCCAGTGCAGTAGTGAGGAAGTGCATCAGTGTCAGAGGTGTCTTCTTTCCAACGTGATAATAAACCCAACTTTCATCTGTTCTCTCAGGTACATCTATAAAAGTCCTTTGGTACTATTTTGAACAGCAAGAGCTATTAAGTGCTGTCATGACCAATATTCATCCTTCAATCAACTCCATTAAACAAAAAGGACCCAGTTCTAATTGTTATGCTGTTTGCGGGAGATTGCTCTCACAAATTGGCTGTCACTCTCCCGACTTTACAACAGTGACTACATTTCAAGTGAACTTCACTCATTGCCAAGTGGCCAGAGATGTTCTGTGATTATCAAAGCCCTGTAGACATGCAAGTCTTATTTTTTTATTCAGTATAAGCATTCACAGGTCTTCGTTTTTTTGTTAAACATCTGAACAGTTTTTCCTTTCTCCCCACCTGTCTCGCAGGTACATGTATAAACTTCGGGATTTGCACGTCTTTCATGAGAATTTCACAGAGGCGGCCTACACTCTCCTCCTGCATGCAAAGTTGCTGAAGGTAACAACCAAAGTATTTCTAGCTTTGACATATTGTGTCCTGGGGCTGATAAGTTATCAGCACAGCAGTCCACTCTAAGTGCAACACTGAGGCTTTCATAAGAATTGGAATAACTTAGCTATCCAAATTCAGTGAAAAGTATTTGATTGGAAGAAACAGTATTGGAATCACGGAATTACTAATCAGTGTGAGGCCACCTGGCCCATCTAGACTGCACTGGCCCTTTTGAAAAGTAAGCTCCTGAACCTTATTTCCTCTCACGTCACCAAGCTCTTTCCAAATAAACCTGCAGTTTTTTTTTCTGCTGCAAGTATTCATCCAATTCCCTTCGGAAAGCTAAGGCAACTCCACCAGCTTTTCCAGTCTATCCACATGGCTATGAAGATTACTGCCCGGAATCTCTCCAGTCAATCTGCTCTTCAAGGCCTTTATGTTCTTTCTAAAGTGTGTCACCCACACTTGGAACTGGGGGCGAGCGAGTTTTCTATTTAATAGGTCGGCTTAGCATTGTGCGGGAATCGGAAACAAATTGTGCAGGAATGAGAAAAATGCATGGAAAATCATGATGGGATTTGATAGAGTAAATAGGGAGAAGTTGGTTCCACTGGCCGTCTGATTGTAACTAAAGGAACGCAAATTGAAGGTTAGTACCAAAAAAAAGGTGGGAAGGCGAAGGGCAATGATTTGTCGTCAGTATAATATTCCCAAGTTTGCTGTTGACATAAAACTAGTTGAGAGTGTGAGTGGTGAAGAGGTTATAAAGGGACTTCAGGGTGATCTAGACAAGTTGAGTGAGTGGGAAAATGTATGTGGCAAATGCGGTATAATGTAGACAGATGTAAAATTGCCCACTTCAGTAGAGAAACAGAATGGCAGAATATTATATAGAGAGTGATAGAACATAGAACAGTACAGCACAGTACAGGCCCTTCGGCCCACGATGTTGTGCTGAACTTTTACCCGAATATATTGGGTATACTGATATATTGTGAAAGGTTCATGTACAAAGGGATCTGGGTGTCCTTGTACACCAGTCCTTGAAAGCAAGCTCACAGGCTCAGCAATCAGTTATGGAGGCAGGTATTGTGCTGCCCTTCATTGCAAAAGGGTTTGACACCAGGTGCAAGCTGTACAGGGCCTTGGTCAGGCCTCCACTGGACTATTGTGTGCACCTTTGGTCTCTTTACCTGAGAATGGATGTACTTGCCACAGAGGGAGTGCAATGAACATTCACGAGGCCGATGAGATTCTCCTGTATTCTCTGTCTTTGTTTCACTAGAATGATTCCTGGGATATCAGATCTGTCTGTTGGCCTTTATTCACTGAAGTTTAGAAGGATGAAAGAAGATTTCATTGAAACATGAACTTCAATGGGATCAGGCCAGACTGGATATAGGGATGATTTCTCCAATGGGCATGGGGATGTAGAACAAGGGGGTCTCAGGACACGTGGTACTGAGATGAGGAGAAATGCTCAACTGGAGAAAGATGGACAACAAGTTACTGGAAATATCTAAATAAAAAATCAATAGATTTCTAGCCACTAAATGTGATAAGAGCTAGAGGGAGCGAGTGGGAGTATGGCCTTGACATAGAAGACTAGCCATACTGACTGGCAGAGGAGGACTGGGGAGGCAAATGGCCTACTTCTGCTCCTATTTCTGTGTTTGTATGTTTCCTCCAAAGACCTGGGGCAGACTGAATGATATCCCTTTATGCTGAGTGATTCCACAGTGACCCCAGGTATGTTCATAAGATGAGGCAAACTGCAGTAAATACAGTGCAATTATACAACTATTGATTGATTAATTTATTGTTGTCACATGTGCCCAGATACAGTGAAAAGCATTATTTTGCGTGCTATATAGGCAGATTGTACCATACAAAGTGCATCAGGGTAGCAGAACAGAATGCAGAATACAATGTTACAACTGGAGAGGAGATGCAGAGAGAGAGATCAGAATTAACAATTGAGAGGTCCATTTAAAAGTCTGATAACAGTGGGGAAGAAGCTATTCTTGAATCTATTCGGACCCATATATAAACTTTTATACCTTCTCCCGAACAGAGTGGAAGAGTGTATAATCAGGGTGGGAGGGGTCTTTGATTACATTGGCTGCTTCCCTGAGACAGCAGGAAGTGTAGATAGAGTCAATGGGTGGTAGGCTGATTTGCATGATGGACTGGGCAGTAGTTACACATCTCTGCAGTCTTGAGAAGAGCAGTTGCCAAACCACATTGTGATGCATCCAGATGAGATGCTTTCTATGGTGCATAAGAGTCCTATATTCTCCACATCAATTTTCCTTCACGCGCATCAAATTGAGGCATTGAATTAGAATGGGCTGTGGTTAGCAAGGGCATCAGCCTATCACCTCATTAGGATCACAATGCCCATCCTCAACGCTACCTTCACTTGACATTCTGGAGTATTTATAATTTGAATTTGGAGCACTACAGGAGGCAAGGATAGGGAAAAAAAAATATATAATTCAGCAAAAGTCATCTCCAATCTCCAGACCAAAACTTTTCCACCTGATCTAGGCTAACCCGTTGCTGAAAAATGCAGTGAGGGAAAAGGAGAAATTTCTTTATTCACAGAGAGGGTTAAAATGTGAAACTGACTGCCACAACAAGCTCAGCTCCTCCAGCGAACAGCTCAAGAGAATTATTTTTTTTCTGAGTTGTGGGATGTTTGGAACTCTCTTTGCCAGAGAGTACTGGAGCCATTTTTAAGGCAGAGGTAGCTATGTTCTTGATTAACAAGGGAGTCAGATGGAATTGGGTGTTTATAATAAAGTGGAGTTGAGGCCACAGTCAGATCAGCCTTGATCTCCTTGGATGTCAGAGCTGGCTGAAAGGGGTTAAACAGCTTACTTCTGTTCCTAATATTTAAAAAAAAATGTTATTCACTTGTGCAAATTCATTGAATTAGATCATGATTGATTTATCTTGTTTTAACTTCACTTATGTGACTGAGCCCCAAGTCCTGAACCAAATCAAAATCTATTATTCCATTAAAAAATGTAATATATTAAACATATACTAAAAGTCTATCTAACCCGGCATTGAACAGTCCAATTGTTCCAGGATCCACATTCTTTTAAGGATAGAAAATTTCAAATTTCAATTTACATTTCTACATCTAAATGCACATCACCAATTGCTAATGTCTGCATCTCTACCACTGTACAGTGCTCATCAGACTGTTGCTCACCCTTTTGCAAAGAACGTTCTTCTGAAACCTGATCTAAATTGATTTTTCACCAATTTCTGACCTTAACTATTTTTTAAGGCCATGTTCATTTTCAAATTTAATATTTTAGGATGAATCATTTGTATTTTTCAACTCATGTCCCTCCAACTCCCTGAGTTATCTTCACTGTAACCTGGAGAGAAAGTAAATTGTAAAAGTTTCTCATTTATTCCCCTCCTTGTTGCTTCTCAGTGCATCTCTTTCAAATCTGTTAAACGTAAATCAGCACATTGTTTAGAGGATCTTCAGTCTAACATGTGTGTATTTTAGTAGTATTATTGTCCTTCTTAACAGCAAACAAATATTTTGCATCAGTATTGACAAGGACATGGAAGGTAAGGAACTTGGGGAAATAGCAATGTCTTGAAAAGTGTCCAATTACAGAAAAGGAGATGCTGGAGGTCTTAAAACGCATCATGGTAGAAAAATCCCCACAACCTGATCAGGTGTGCCCCATAACTTTGCGGGTGACTAGGGAAGAGATTGCTGGGCTCCTTGCTGAGATAATTGCATCATCAACAGCTACAGGTAAAGTTCTAGATGATTGGAGGGTAGCTAATATGAGGCCATTATTTAAGAAAGGCTCTAAGGAAAAGTCAGGGAACTACAGACCGATAAGCTTTACATCAGTGGCAGGTAAGTTGTTGGAGGGGATTCTGAGGGAAGAGTTTAACATGCATTTGGAAAGGTAAGAACTGATTAAGGATCATCAATATGACTTTGTGCGTGGGAAATCATGTCTCACTAATTTGATTAGATTTTTTGAAAAGGTGACAAAGAAGATTGACAAAGGCAGAGCAGTAGATGTTGTCTACAAGGATTTCAGCAAGGCGTTTGACATGGTTCCACATGGTAGAGTGATAGGCAAAGTTAGATCATATGGAATCCAGGGGGAGCTAGGAATTGCATGCAATATTGGCTTGAAGGTAGGTGATAGAGGGTGGTGATAGAGGGATGATTTTCAGATTGGAGACCTGTGACAAGTGGCGCCACAAGGATCAGTGCGGGTCCACTTTTGTTTGCCATTTATATAAATGATTTGGATGTAAATATAGGTGGGATGGTTAGTAACTTTGCAGAAGACACCAAAATTGATGTTATAAAGGACAGTGAAGAAGGTTATCTCAGAGTACAACGAGATCTTGATCAGATGGGCCAAAGGGCCGAGGAGTGGCAGATAGAGTTTAATTTAGATAAATGTGGGTGTTGCATCTGGGCAAGACTTATTCAGGAATGGTGGGGTCATTGGGAGTGTTGTTGAACAAAGAAACCTAGGGGTGCAGGTACATCGTTCCTTGAAAGTGAAGTCACAACAGGATAATGAAAAAGGCATTTGGCACGCTTATCATCTTTAGTCAGTGCATTGAGTACAGGAGTTGGGACGTCATGTTGCAGCTGTACAGTACATTGGTAAGACTACTTTCAGAATACTGCATTCAATTCTGGCCTTCCTGCAATCGGAAAATGTTGTTAAACATGAAAAGGTTGACAAGGATGTTGCCAGAGTTGGAGGGAAATGCTGAATAGGCTTTGGCTTTTTTCCTTGGAGTGTCGGAGATTGCGGGTAACTTTATAGAGGTTTTTAAAATCATGAGGGGCATGGATAGGGTGAATAGCCAAGGTCTTTTCCCCAGGCTAGGGGAGTCCAAAACTAGAGGGGAGAAGTCTAAGGTAAGACGGGAAAGATTTAAAAGGAACCTGAGGGGAAACTTTTTTTATGCAGAGGGTGGTCCATGTATGGAAT